ATAAGGTGCACAATCTAAGCGTTTACTCTAACCCCAATACAAAAGAGGTTGTTTTTTTATTATCATGATTATGATATTGAGTAAAATAATGAGTGATATACATGTACAACAGTGATAATGTCGTTAATTAAACTTGAAACTTTCATTATTTTTTCAACAAAATACGCACAAATGTTCCGTTATTATACACGACGATTTAAACAAAAAATCCATAAGATTCGAAGATTACTTTACAATATGCAGACTATACACTTCTGTACAAATACAGAATATATGCTGCAAAGCATGCAGAATATGGGCAACGATATTATTACAATTCATTATCAATTCATGTAAATAATTAATAAACAATATCTTAACGAATAAAATACATCATTAATGACTACCACTGATTACCATTAATAATCCTTCCATATTCCATATCATACGATGAACAATACGCGAAGAGGTTCTTTATTACTATTACCATTTCCTCATCACGCAAAGTAAGACCAATAAATCTCTACAAAGACGTTATTAAACAGACTGCATTGGATATAACTGCATGCATGCATTGTGTTGTTATCTGTTTCTCTTGTCCTTGCTTTCTTGTTTTATATTTACACTTCTAATATGTGAACCCTTGTAATATGGATTTCATTCTACTACAACAAAGCACAACACTGTAAAACAATATAGATTCCTGTATGGGTACATAATAATATCATTTGCAGGGCTTAATCATCAAGTTCTTTATTCCAGAGAAAAGCGAGAAAGCAAACACTTTCAAATTAAAAAAAAACAAAGTGCGAAAAAACCATTGAAATTCATGAGAGTATAACATTGTTCGTTCATAATAACCAGCCGATAAATTGTGGTTGTTGTTGTTTTGAAACTACGTTAACATATATTAATAGTAACATAACGCACTGAGAGGCATGGAAGCATACTGATCATATATGAAACATCTATTTTATCTATTTATTGTTTACACAAATAACTATTCACAAATGAATAGAAGAACACTGAAACACTAAGTAAAATTATACGTTATGGTATAGTGATAACATTATTTACAAAGGAAGATAATTTTACAAACTTTTCTCGTTTCCAAGATTATCAAATACACTAGGAATTTACTTCTTTTAAACATTCATGTAACATTGTTACCTTCATTGGATATCTGTAAATTATATATAGGCAACATATATTGTATAGCAATAAAGCAGAATATGTACATACATAATTTTGTTAATTATTCAATTATTGTTTTCAGTTTGTCTCTCCTCATCATTGCTGGTATTTTGGTGTATAACAGTTTTTTAATAGGAAATTAATCCCTTTGTTACCAACATACTTTACGTTATAAGGGTAAGTATGTCGGTATGATTGTCAAAGATACTTTAAAATGCGCACAAACTATGCAACTACTCTATCACAAAATACCAAGAAGTTTGCGTTTCATTATCATGATTATAATATTGGGTAAAATAATGAGTGATATACATATACAACATTAATCATTTCGTTACTACGACTTCGAACTTTCGTAATTCATTATTCACAATACGCAGTGAGGTTCCGTTATTATACAGGGCAATCTCTGCAAATCAATTGACTACAATTTTGGACAATACTCTGGACAATATGCATACTATACTCAACAATACAATATACATACAATTTCAATTTATAAGATAAGCTCCAACGGTAGGCAAAATAATAAAAACGATGTCCTTATAAATCGTAAATGATTCATAAACAATAAAAATGACATGTATCGACGAATAATATACAGCATTAGCTATTAACACTGATAACTATCAATATTTCTTACAAATTTCATATTGTATGATTCACAAACGTGAATAGGCTCTCTATTACTATTACCATTCCAAAATAATGCAAAGTGAAGCCAATACACAAATACGCTATTAAACAGGCTGCGTTGCATAAATCCACATGATATGCGTTTATTTGTTAGCTATTTAATTATAAGTTTTAGTGATCTCACCTCTTCATAGCTGGTCTAATGTTTTTTTCTTTTTTTTTTTCTTTTTTTGTATCTACATAGTCCTTTTACGAGCAATAGCATATAGAGCAAAAGAAACGGATCTCTAAAAGTCTGTTTCTGTTATTTTCAAATTGCAACATTAGACCGTTAGTTACCAGCATACCATAATAAGAATTCCAAAATGTGTTATCCATACATTAATTTTTATTAAAAAAACATTGTTTCATTAAATACAATAAAAACGCTGCAATAACTGTACAATATGAGCAAGCACGTCGGTCTAAATGTCAAAGATAACTTAAAAATGTGCACAATCTAAGCATTTAATTTCCCCCCGAATACAAAGGAGGTTGGCAATTTTAATAACTTACATGTATTTACAATATGATAAGGTCACTGATTTACAAGATAAAGAACGCAGTCCATAGGACATTCTTAGCCTTACAACAAATCAAAGAATTGAGGTTAGCTATAAAGTAAAGTGAATGATTTTTCTTATGTATGATAAAATGCAAATCAAATATTGTAAATCCACAATAAGTTTTATTTAGCCATGACATTTAAATTGCGGCTTACATAGATATTTAAAATTGGTGCACTTAAATTCAAGTATAGATGACACAACAAATATTCAAAAGATGATAGCAGGATCAAAGTTTTGGCAACATTATGTATGCTAATAATATAATATATAAGGCTGTATAAACTGTACATATAGTACATGATAAACAGGTTAGGGGAACACAACTCCCGGGTTTGTTACCGTATGCTAGATAACCGAATCAAGATAAAGGTATTCATGTAATGCAATCAAGAGAATAACATAACTGAGTAACATCACCGGTTCAGCTCTGAGCCTTAATGTGGCAAGGAGAGTGTAAAAGAAGGAGGACTCAATCTGCTTTTGACGGACTTTTACAAATATTTCTGCAAAGAATGTTTTTAAAATCACATTATATATTTGTTCTATTTACAAAGATAATATAAAGACATCTGCTACTTGTACGTGACTATAGTGTGCTTCTATTCACTTTACAAATTATTCAAACTCTGGGATTCAAATATTCTTTGATAATGAAATTAACATGTGATATACTCCACGCATAACCCCATGCAGTATGTTGCTTATTTGTATTCATATTCTGCAATGAAGCACAATTGCTCTATCGGGCGGGGCTGGTGTTGGAAATGGCGTTATATTACATAATACACGCATTACTATCAATTTAAGCCGTTCTGTAAGTACATGTAAGTCAATATAAACTATAAAAGCAGACATACATGTTAAACATATTTTTGAAATAATTGATTAAGCCAAACAAATTATGAAGTACATGTTTCTCAACAGCGATGTTGAAGAAACTAAAAGTAATATGAATAACATAAGTATACAAAAGAAAAGAAACGTAAACTTGATGAGAAAACAAAATCATTTTACCACAATGTGCGTTATAAAAGAATTGTGTTTGCAAATTAATAAAACCGTTTAGTCGTATAGCTTTAATACTTTCAGGCACAACTTCACTTGCATGATCATGTGCACTGTGAACATTTACTGTGACTTTGACAATGGAACATGCTTCCCTGTCCAATATTTCTTATTTTCATGATCAAAAGTCATATTTACACATTTAGACACAAACGATAAATAACCATGTACTGCTATTTGAAGCCAGACAGGCGTTATGTTTGTGCTAACGTCTTTGACTTTCTGATTTCAAACGGGGGATGTTTACAATATAATGGTATATTTACTTCTTTAATATATCCGATTTTCTTCTACTCTCTGACGTCATTAAGAAGAGTCATAACTTTGAAATTGTGTATGCATTCATAATATTTGTATCATTTTGTTTAATCTTCAAATGTAACACCAGACTCGACATGAAGTTGAAAATGGTGAAAATAAAATCCGGAAAGAAATCACACTCCAAATTAATATGTTCCTGTCAAATCGGCATGATGATAAAAAGAGAATGCAATTGATATCAAATACGCGACATAAGTCCGGATAATAGTTTCATCTTATTTCAAAGTTATTTAATATACATTCAATATTTTTATAGCAATTAATTAGGTAAAAGAAAACCACGGTATGAAACATTACACATGTTACATAACAATTTCATGGAGAGACGATGCTATTATGTTATTGAAATTGTGAATTTTCTAATATGTTATATATAATGTGTACTTAATTTCTATTTTGGCGTTGCATTTGCTCGTGCCTCTCCTTTCTTTATTTTCTTATTATTTATCGTTGATTTGTTACTCTCTTATTTGTCCTTATGCTATATGTTTTACTAGTCTTCTGAGTGCATCAGTTGGTTAGGCGGAGGGACCTTTACGGTTACAGTGATTACGTTTGCTCTCTTCTTCCCTGACCGCCATCTTTTGCACTCAGAATATTGCTTTAAAAATTATATATGCATAGTTTTTGTCATTCTATTTTTGTAATTAGCATGATTTTATTGTGTTATTGTTATATTTTTTGAAAGTGACAAATAAATAGTACAATACAATACAATCTTTCCTCAATCATTGAAATATAGCAGACCATAGAATATTAAAAAACATAAACATATTTTAATAAAATAACAATATATATGTATGAATTTTAGCAACGAATGTGAAATAGTAAATGTTTTGTACATTATGTACATAAAAGAGATTCGAATTCACGTGTGGGGATTTTGTATTTAGTATGTTGTAGCAAAGGCGAGGAGGTTTACGAACAGGTATGTAAAGTACCACAGAGAAGGAGGCTTGAATAGCCTACAAGCCCCTGACCCTGTATGAGATTCTATTTGGGGTGTGGGAGTGGTAACCGATGTAGGTACAGTATTAACAATCTGTATTGTAGTTTCTTTGACGTGTGGCCACTCGAAGTCATTGCACATTGTTTGACTTACATTCAAAGATACATCATGTGAGCAACAAGAGAAATGAGTGATATGGGGTAGCCAGAATATACGTCTGATAACTTGGCCATTATTTGTAACATTACCTCTGATGTCAATCATCTTATCATTCTGGTAACATGATATCGTGGGTTTAACACTTCCAATGGTTGCTTGACAGTGTACGTCATAGGGAGAGTCACCATTTTCACTTAAAGTGATGTAGCATTTTGCTCGACCGGTTGGGATCTGTACAACAATCTCCTTCATCATAGTTTCATACCGAACGTTCTCAAAACTACGCCAGACTGTCGTTAATACATACACACCCTCGTCTACAGTATCAACGTTATCGATAACCAGATTCACGCACTGGGAAGTGTCTATACCTGTGAGTGAGGTTGTAAATCTTGGTAACTGGGATGGGCTTTTATAACCCTTGATATCAGTTTCTCCATTAATGTTGAATGGACGAGGCTTGGATTTGAATCCAAGGAAATAAGATGAAAACTCATGTGATGTTTCACCACTTGACCGTGGGAGATGGAATGGGACCACACCAGGTGTACCTGCTTGTAACGTGACCCGTTCGGTGATACCCCTGCCTGCTACGAGAGCCGGGCTTCCAGCAAGAATGATGGCCAACGCGACAATCATCTGCAGGAAAGTTTGTACGAGGTCCAGATTTCCAGAACACCGGTCAACCGATGATCGACGTTTGGTCTATATCAAAAGGAATACGTTTGAAAGAGATTGTGATGAAATTGAACAAATTTAAGGAATATCGCATTCAGCAAGGATCCGATGTGAACAATAGAGATTTAATGCTGTCCACGAGGACAAAAAGGTGATATAATCTCAATATATGTGAATGATTAAATGATATTAATTTCTATTCGCCCCCAAAACGATTAACAAATATAACGGGGCAGTAAGAACAAGAATTAAACAAACAGAATGAAAAGAGCCAAAGTGAATTTTATCGGAAAACCTTCCTCTACAAGTCGTACAGCTTACTCATGTCGTATCATTCATCATTAAACTACTGCTAAGGGTTCGTATCGACTCATTCCTAAACTAATATTCTAATAGCGTCATTTAAAAAAAGTCCCAATGTTTTGCACAGATGCAGAACTATAATCCATTTTTACTTAAAACCCCACTGCACTACTTGCGCCCTCTAAATAAGCATACATTGCCCAATCAGTGACCGTTGGCCCCTTATGATCCCTTTTTCTTACGTTAACTGAGAGCTGATTTGATGAGATAACCACCTGTCAGTGCCCATGCAGGGAGGTCTAATCCCTCCTGGGGGTGGGGGGGGGGGGGGGTGTTTCATTAAGCTGTTCGTAAAGTTACGCATGACTTTACGAACGAATTGAATATAAAGTGCCAGATAGGATACCCAAAGTTTGTCCTGATGTTTTAAATAAATGTGATTATATTTCCAAAAACCTCAAATAAATTATGGCAAAAAATATACTTTGCAATAAAAATGTTTGTTATAATAAGAATTTTAATCTACATCTGCACAGTTCAACTTGGCTTTTCGTAAAGTTATGCGTAACTTTACGAACAGCTTTATGAAACACCCCCAGGCCAAACTAGCGCAGATGGGCTTTAATATTGTTACACTATTTCATAACATAAATGGAAGCAATACTTCTCTCTTACCTCGATTTTCCAAACTGGGTTTGAGGATGTTCCGTGGGTGGAGACAGGGTTTCCGTCAGACAACCTATGTTGATCGACAGCTGGTGGGTGGGTAGGGAAGCTGTTGAATTTAATTGTAGAAATTACACTTAGCTGATGTAAGAAAAGACCAAAAAAATCAATCTAACTGGGTCCCAAGAAAGGTCTACTAAGATAATAAATATTTTCTGCCAATCACAAAATGGAAAAAATCTCTGTAATATGTAAATGTATGTATAAATGTTTACAAATAAACATTCAAGGAACAATACCTAGATTACAAATATTGAGCTTAACGATACCCTGTGTACCGCATCAGGTCTTGCTTCACTGTTCTCAAGCTTCTTCTAGATCAACTCCAGGCAGGTATTAAATCCGAAAGTGCTCTTATCCCCTCAACAGGTGATTCCATTGAGTTTATATTGATAAATAATGCTTTTTTTCGTAAACTGTTAGTTATATACATTATGAAGAATATTCAAAATAATTCTGAATATTCAATAACAAAACTAAGAAAACTGTTGTTATTAATGGTTTTAAGTTATATTGAGTGAAAATATATGCCCTAAATACATTTTCTTCTACGGATGATAAGGTTTCCTCAAATAAAGGAAACGACAAATGACTAATACCTTTTTAAATCCGTTGAAGATCCGTTAAATGGAGGAACATTTCCAGTATGCATCGGTGAAGAAGATTCCTGACGGGGAAATCAATTACATCATAACAAATGTCATATTAGAGTGCGTTGGAAGGAAATGAACTAAGACAACATAATGCCGATAAGTTTGCTCTAGGAGGAATACGACAAAACAAAGAGTAAGACAATACATGCATAGAATGAACACGTTATTTGTTTTCACAACAGAAATAAGTGATCAATGTGTAAAATAATATTGCATGTAATTTTTTATTCTCTATTTCTAGGATTTGAGTTCCTTTCTCATTCATAATTGTGTTGGAAGCAAAATAATTTACAGAAAATTCACTAAAGAGCTATGTACAAAAGGTCATTAATTTTCCTTTTCACAAATCTTTGTCTTTTATCTCTATGATAACATTATAATTGGCTGAATGGCTGCTTCTAAACATATTTGTATGTTCTATTATCTTTTCTATCCAAAGTAATAATCAAATATAAGCTTTGTTAAGATAAAGTTATACATTTATTAATCACTCACTCTCATTTCCCTGTTTTCATCAGATGAGTGACTGTCAGTCTCCATAGTTCGTAGATAGGGTGGATGAAATCCGCTGTATTGACATGTCTGGGGTCCACGCGGGGTTGAACAGTCTGCACCATTTGTTATGGAGTGTCTTTTCCTTGTTTCGGTGCACTTAATTTCCTCCATATGATTTAGCATTGGATCTTTTTCACCTTTGTCAGGATATTTTAGCTTAACATGAATTAACGGATTGTGTACACCGTTGCCAGCTTTTTCATCATCATCAACTCTTGTGTGAAGATGCTTCAAGAAGAGCTTATTAGCTCCTCTCTTCGTATTATCAGCTTGACTGCAGTAATCACTACCCTCTGCATCGTCTACCTGAAATGCTAACTGTCTTGTACGTGACTGGGTGTATGTTCCCTTCATATCGACCACCTTCTCCATCTTCTTTGCATAACCTCTTGTGGCGAGATATTTAGCACCAAAGTGGTGGCCCTCCGATAGTGGATCTCCTGTATCTTCTTCATTCGGGTCACCTCTACGTTGGGAGAGGTGATCATTTACGTTTGGATGAGCTGCATCTTTGTCATCATCAAGGGTTCTTGTGGACAGATTCTCCAAGGAGAGTTCAACGGTCCCTCTCTTCGCATTACCAGCTTGATTGCAGTCTTTCCTCTCTTCTGCAGTGTCTACCTGACATGCTAACTTTCCTGTACGTGACTGGGTGTCTGCATCCTTCAGTGATACCGTCATGTATTCTGTTGTGATGATATCCTGGTGGTCACCAGTTCGTGGATCTCCTGTTTCTTCCTCACCTAGGTCACTTCTACGTGATGAGATGCCTTCTATTAACTGTGGCAGGCGTATGTATGCTGCTACCTGGAGTGGCTTCAAACCATCTACATGTATCTCCTTCGGGCTCATGTTTGTTCCATTCAGTGTAAGGTAATCAACTATTTCTTGGTGTCCTTCTTGTGCAGCGGCTTCGAGTGGTGTCCATCCATCGTGATCTTGTTCATTGACATTAGCGTTGTGGTGAACGAGTAATTTCACGATATCCATGTTGCCATTACAACAACTTGCATGAAGAGGGGACTCGCCGCATTCATTTCTTTCGTTCACGTCATATCCATTGAGGACAAGGAATTTTACCACATCAACATGGTCATACTGTGTTGCGATGTAAAGTGGGGTAATTCCTTCAAACTGTGTACCCTGAGCTCCTTTTGCCAAGAGAAGTTTGACAACTTCTAAATGGCCATTTTTTACGGCAGCATGTAATGGCGTCCATCCTCGGTAATCATTCTTGTTGACATCCACACCTTGCTGAATGAGATATTCCATGACCTTCATGTGGCCTCGAACAGCAGCACCATGGAGAGGAATCATCCCTTTGTCATTTTCTTCATTCACATTAGCACCGTTGTTAATGAAGAATGTTAAGATGTCTAAATGACCAAAATACGCTGCAGCGTAGACCGGGGTCATCCCATCGTATCTGTTCTGCTTCGCTCCCTTATACGTGAGATATTTGGTAGATGCTACGTGACCATATTGAACGGCAGCATTGAATGGAGTCCATCCGGTGTTATCTTCCTTGTTCGCATCAGATCCTTCCTGAATTAGATATTCCATGACTTTCACGTGACCTCGAATAGCTGCACCATGGAGAGGAATCAACCCTTTGTAAGTTTCTTCGTTCACATCAGCACCATTGGATACGAGGAATTTGACGATGTCTAAATGACCAACTTGTGCTGCAGCATAGAGTGGGGTCATACTATCATATTTGGTCTGTTTTGCTCCTTTAGTCATGAGGTATTTCACAGCTTCTAGATGACCATATTGCACAGCAGCATTGAATGGGGTCCATCCAGTGTTATCTTTCTTGTTCACATTGGATCCTTGTTGAATGAGGTAGTCCATGACTTTCAAGCGGCAATTAGCAACTGCACCATGGAGAGGAATCTTTCCTGTTTCACCTTCGTCGTTCACATCAGCTCCTTCGGAAATGAAGAATTTCAAGATTTCTAGATGACCACATTGTGCAGCTGCACAAAGTGGGGTCATTCCATCATATCTGTTCTGCTCTGCTCCTTGAGTCGTGAGATATTTGACAGCTTCTAGATGACCATTTTGAACAGCAGCATTGAATGGAGTCCAGCCTTTGACGTCAACTTTGTTCACATCAGATCCTTGCTGAATGAGATATTCCATGACTTTCAGGTGGCCTCGAGCAGCAGCACCGTGGAGAGGAATTTTGCCTTTGTAAGTTTTTTCGTTTACATCAGCTCCTTTAGAAAGGAAGAATTCGACTTTATCTAAATGACCAGATTGTGCTGCAGTATAGAATGGGGTCATTCCATTATATCTGTTCTGTTTTGCTCCTTGAGTCGTGAGATAGTTGACAGCTTCTAGATGACCATATTGTACAGCAGCATTGAATGGTGTCCAACCAGTGTTATCTTCCTTGTTCACATCACATCCTTGCTGAATGAGATATTCCATGACTTTCACATGGCTTTGAGCAGCAGCACCGTGGAGAGGAATCCGTTTTGTATCATTTTCCTCCTTCACATCAGCTCCTTTGGAAATGAAGTATTCCACGATGGGTAAATGACCAAAAGATGATGCGGCATAGAGAGGGGTCATTCCGTCATATTTGTTTTGTCCTGCTCCTTCATTTATGAGATATTTGACAGCTTCTAGATGACTATTTTGAACAGCAGCATTGAATGCAGTCCACGCAGTGTTATCTTTCTTGTTCACATCAGATCCTTGCTGAATGAGATATTCCATGACTTTCAAGTGGCCTCGAATAGCTGCACCATGGAGAGGAATCATCCCTTTGTCACTTTCTTCGTTCACATTAGATCCTTTGGAAATGAAGTGTTCCACGATGTGTAAATGACCAAAATATGAAGCGGCATATAGTGGGGTCTTTCCATCATATCTGTTCTGCTTTGCCCCCACAGTAATCAGATATTTGACAACTTCAAGATGGCCATATTGAATAGCAGCATTGAATGGTGTCCAACCCATGGCATCGCCCTTGTTGACATTAGATCCTTGCTGAATGAGATATTCCATGACCTTCATGTGGCCTTGAGCAGCTGCGCCGTGGAGAGGAATCATACCTTCATCTTGTTCTTCATTCACATCAGCTCCTTTGGAACTCAAGAATTTGACAATGTCTAAATGACCACATTGAGCTGAGGCATAGAGTGGAGTCATACCATCATGTCTGTTCTGCTTCACTCCTTCAGTAATCAGATATTTGACAGCTTCTAGCTGGCCATATTGAACAGCAGCATTGAATGGTGTCCAACCCTTGGCATCACCCTTGTTCACACTAGATCCTTGCTGAATGAGATATTTCATGACTTCAGTGTTACCGTGAATAGCTGCACCGTGGAGAGGAATCCACCCTGTATCATTTTCCTCGTTCACATCATAGACTCCTTTGGAAATGAAGAACTTTACCAGATTTAAATGACCACATTGAGCTGCGACATAGAGTGGGGTCATACCATCATATATGTTCTGCTTCACTCCTTCAGACATTAGATAGTTGACAGCTTCTAGATGGAGAGGAATCATCCCTTCGTCATCTTCTTCGTTCACATCTGCTCCTTTGGATATGAAGAATTTGATGATGTCTAAATGACCAAATTCTACTGCAGCATAGAGTGGGGTCTCACCTTTGTATCTGTTCTGCTTTACTCCTTCAGTCATGAGATATTTGACAGCTTCTAAATATCCCCCCTGAACAGCAGCATTGAATGGAGTCCATCCGGTGTTATCTTCCTTGTTGACATCAGACCCTTGTTGAATGAGATATTCCATGACTTCTATGTTACCGTTAGTAGCAGCTTCATAAAGAGGAATCCTCCCTTTGGCATCTTTTTCGTTCACATCATCTCCTATTGAAATGAAGTATTTGACGACATCCAAATGACCAAATAGTGATGCGCCATGGAGTAAAGGGACTCCGCAATACCTGATCCTTTTAACCCCTTTAGTCATGAGACATTTGATCACGTCTAAATGGCCATATTGAATAGCAGCATTGAAAGGCGTCCACCCACTAGTATCACTCTTGTTCACATCAGATCCTTGCTGAATGAGATATTTCACGACTTCAGTGTTACCTTGAACAGCTGCACCATGCAATGGGATCCGACCCAAACTATCCATTTCGTTCACATCAGCTTCATTGGAAATGCAGTATTTAACGCTTTGTAAGTGGCCGTGACTTGCCGCGGCATAAAGTGGTGTCATTCCATCAAAACTGTTCTGCTTCACTCCGTCAGTCATGAGATATTTGACAACTTCAAGAAGGCCATATTGAACAGCAGCATTGAATGGTGTACAACCCTTGGCATCACCCTTGTTCACATCAGATCCTTGCTGAATGAGATATTCCATGACTTTCAAGTGGCCTCGAATAGCTGCACCATGGAGAGGAATCATCCCTTTGTCACTTTCTTCGTTCACATTAGATCCTTTGGAAATGAAGTATTCCACGATGTGTAAATGACCAAAATATGAAGCGGCATATAGTGGGGTCATACCAGCATATCTGTTCTGTCTCGCTCCTAGAGTCTGGATAAATCTGACGGCTTCTAAGTTTCCCTTCTGAACGGCAGCATTGAATGGTGTACAACCCTTGGCATCGCCCTTGTTCACATCAGATCCTTGCTGAATGAGATATTCCATGACTTTCAAGTGGCCTCGAATAGCTGCACCATGGAGAGGAATCATCCCTTTGTCACTTTCTTCGTTCACATTAGATCCTTTGGAAATGAAGTATTCCACGATGTGTAAATGACCAAAAAATGAAGCGGCATATAGTGGGGTCTTTCCATCATATCTGTTCTGCTTTGCCCCCAGAGTAATCAGATATTTGACAACTTCAAGATGGCCATATTGAATAGCAGCATTAAATGGTGTCCAACCCATGGCATCGCCCTTGTTGACATTAGATCCTTGCTGAATGAGATATTCCATGACCTTCATGTGGCCTTGAGCAGCTGCGCCGTGGAGAGGAATCATACCATCATCGTGTTCTTCATTCACATCAGCTCCTTTGGAACTCAAGAATTTGACGATGTCTAAATGACCACATTGAGCTGAGGCATAGAGTGGAGTCATACCACCATGTCTGTTCTGCTTCACTCCTTCAGTAATCAGATATTTGACAGCTTCTAGCTGGCCATATTGAACAGCAGCATTGAATGGTGTCCATCCCTTGGCATCCATCTTGTTTACATCTGATCCTTGCTCAATGAGATATTTCATGACTTCAGTGTTACCGTGAATAGCTGCACCGTGGAAAGGAATCCACCCTGTATCATTTTCTTCGTTCACATCATAGACTCCTTTGGAAATGAAGAACTTTACCAGATTTAAATGACCACATTGAGCTGCGACATAGAGTGGGGTCATACCATCATATATGTTCTGCTTCACTCCTTCAGACATTAGATATTTGACAGCTTCGAGCTGGCCATATTGAACAGCAGCATTGAATGGTGTCCAACCCTTGGCATTACCCTTGTTCACATTAGATCCTTGTTGAATGAGATATTCCATGACTTCAGTGTTACCGTGAATAGCTGCACAGTGGAGAGGAATCCTTCCTGAATCATTTTCTTCGTTCACATCGAGCCTTATGGAAATGAAGAATTTTACGAGATCTAAATGACCAAATCTTGCTGCGGCATAGATAGGGGTCATACCAGCATATCTGTTCTGTCTCGCTCCTAGAGTCAGGATAAATCTGACGGCTTCTAAGTTCCCCTTCTGAACGGCAGCATTGAATGGTGTACAACCCTTGGCATCACCCTTGTTCACATCAGATCCTTGCTGAATGAGATAGTCCATGACTTTCAAGTGGCCTCGAATAGCTGCACCATGGAGAGGAATCATCCCTTTGTCACTTTCTTCGTTCACATTAGATCCTTTGGAAATGAAGTATTCCACGATGTGTAAATGACCAAAATATGAAGCGGCATATAGTGGGGTCATACCAGCATATCTGTTCTGTCTCGCTCCTAGAGTCCGGATAAATCTGACGGCTTCTAAGTTCCCCTTCTGAACGGCAGCATTGAATGGTGTACAACCCTTGGCATCGCCCTTGTTCACATCAGATCCTTGCTGAATGAGATATTCCATGACTTTCAAGTGGCCTCGAATAGCTGCACCATGGAGAGGAATCATCTCTTTGTCACTTTCTTCGTTCACATTAGATCCTTTGGAAATGAAGTATTCCACGATGTGTAAATGACCAAAATATGAAGCGGCATATAGTGGGGTCTTTCCATCATATCTGTTCTGCTTTGCCCCCAGAGTCATGAGATATTTGACAACTTCAAGATGGCCATATTGAATAGCAGCATTGAATGGTGTCCAACCCATGGCATCGCCCTTGTTGACATTAGATCCTTGCTGAATGAGATATTCCATGACCTTCATGTGGCCTTGAGCAGCTGCGCCGTGGAGAGGAATCATACCATCATCGTGTTCTTCATTCACATCAGCTCCTTTGGAACTCAAGAATTTGACGATGTCTAAATGACCACATTGAGCTGAGGCATAGAGTGGAGTCATACCACCATGTCTGTTCTGCTTCACTCCTTCAGTAATCAGATATTTGACAGCTTCTAGCTGGCCATATTGAACAGCAGCATTGAATGGTGTCCATCCCTTGGCATCCATCTTGTTTACATCTGATCCTTTCTCAATGAGATATTTCATGACTTCAGTGTTACCGTGAATAGCTGCACCGTGGAAAGGAATCCACCCTGTATCATTTTCCTCGTTCACATCATAGACTCCTTTGGAAATGAAGAACTTTACCAGATTTAAATGACCACATTGAGCTGCGACATAGAGTGGGGTCATACCATCATATATGTTCTGCTTCACTCCTTCAGACATTAGATATTTGACAGCTTCGAGCTGGCCATATTGAACAGCAGCATTGAATGGTGTCCAACCCTTGGCATTACCCTTGTTCACATTAGATCCTTGTTGAATGAGATATTCCATGACTTCAGTGTTACCGTGAATAGCTGCACAGTGGAGAGGAATCCTTCCTGAATCATTTTCTTCGTTCACATCGAGCCTTATGGAAATGAAGAATTTTACGAGATCTAAATGACCAAATCTTGCTGCGGCATAGATAGGGGTCATACCAGCATATCTGTTCTGTCTCGCTCCTAGAGTCAGGATAAATCTGACAGCTTCTAAGTTCCCCTTCTGAACGGCAGCATTGAATGGTGTACAACCCTTGGTATCACCCTTGTTCACATCAGATCCTTGCTGAATGAGATATTCCATAACATCGAGTTGGCCATGAATAGCTGCACCGTGGAGTGGAATCATTCCTTCCTCGTCTTCTTCATTTACATCAGTCCCTTTGGATATTAAGTACTGGACGACTTCTAAATGACCATATTGTGCTGCCAAATAGAGAGGTGTCTTGCCGCTATATCTGCTCCGCTTCACCCCTTGGGTCATGAGATATTTCACGGCTTCTAGATGGCCCTCTTCAACGGCGGCATGGAATGACGTCCACCCTGTGTTATCTTCTTGGTCCAAATCAGGTCCTTCTGCAATGAAGCTCTCTAAGATGTCAACATAACCTCTTTTAGCCGCTGTATGAAGAGGTGTTCGACCTAGGTCACATTCAACACCTACGTCCGCTCCTTGGAGGATGAGATTGTCAACGATGTGTGCATGTCCTTCTTGAGCCGCTGCATGAAGAGGACGGAGTCCACCCTTACTTGGACTATTTGGGTTAGCTCCCCGTGATATGAGATCCTGAACATCTTCGAGATTACCTTCTAAAGTTGTCTTGTAGAGCGGTGTGTATCCTTCCTCATCTATCTCGTCTATGTAAGGGTTGATTGGTAGCTCAAGTTTGGAAGCAATGACATCACTCGGAGATATTTCATCCAGTAATGTGTTATACATCGCATCCCAATCATCATTCTTTTCAGTCTCTAAGATTTCCATGATTTCCCCTGGCGGCAGTGGAGATGAGCATTCTTCCAACTGTATGCACTTGTCATCAGCAGATGTGTTGGTAACGTGGAACACAGACGTGCCATATGACAACTCTGGATGTCGGTCCACTATAGTTGCATCAGGTCGCAGTGATGCAAGCGTATTAGATTGTACACTACTTCCTCCATCCGTATGCTCTCTGAGTACTGCATTTTGTTCAGTATTCGAGACAACGGATGTATGTTGTGATGGCATGTTTTGCAGTGTTGTGATCAGCGGTATACCAGTTCCCTTGGCCCTATATCCCTTCTCATCTTTCTGGTCTATGTCAGGGTTGAATGGTAGCTCTCGTTTGAACACACTGGCATCACGCAGGGATATTTCATTCAGTGTATTATACATTGAATACCAAGCGTCATTCGTATCAGTCTGTAAGATTTCCGCTGGCTGCAGAGATGATGAGCATTCTCCTAATTGGACGTACTCGTCATAAGCAGATGTGTCGGTATTCAAATTTACAAGAGTATTTAAAAGTATACTGTCTCCTACATCTGTATGCTCTTTGTGTGCTTCATTGTGTTCAGTATTCAAAGCACTGGATGTATGCTGTGATGACATGCTTTGCAGTGATGCGATCAGCGGTGTACCGGTTCCCTTGGCTCTATAAGAAAAGGCATATTTATATTGGTGTAATCCAAGTGATATCATGATATCTTGGATATAAACTTGTGAAACTCTTTAAATAATTAGCTTTAAACTTCATTCCATTCTAAAATAAAGAGATTGAAAGGAAGGCAAAGGCAATAGGATAATATGCGGTGAAAATAGGCAATACAATGACATGATGTCATTTGAGTCTGACACCAGCTACGGTGTTTTTAGGGTGGGGGGCGTAAATTTGTTTCTTATCTGCGGTGTAACAATTTGAGTCCCTTGTTGCGTATTGACACCTCATTAACTGTTTATGCATATATCTGACTAGATCATAGATCAAGTCCCCATGGCTAATTATTTTCAAAGGAAACTGAAAATAAGTTAAACGCATTTTGTTGATATCGATTCGTAAAGGAAAACGTGAGGTTTTTTAATAAAAACGTTATACTAAAAGATAGAGGTGAATTCGGTAATAAAAGGCGTAATGAACTAACACCAAATTCAAGGCTTTTCACTCCAATCACGCCAACGGTTAGTAAGCGTTAAGAAATCAAACCATCTCATAAATACAGGTTCGGTAAACAAGCATTCAACTGAGAGGATAGTTTTGTTAAAATAGAGAATGCATTCTCTTGGAGGATGTTCACACCGGCAGAGATAGCGCAGTCTAGCGCGCGCTAGACCGCGCTATCTCTGCGGTGTGGAAGGTACAACGTCGTTTCGGTCCGCCCAACAGCGAGCCACGGGAGCACTGGAGCACCTCTTGAGGGTGGTCCACGAGAGATAGCACGCCGGAAGTCATTATTCTACACGCGGGGAATTGTATACTATTTTGGTGCGATCTGAATCTGAATCGGTACAATTCAACACTCCTAGTTCGTAATAGCGCGCGAAATATTTGACCGCTCTGACCTCATGACGTCACGCGTCATGACAACATGACCTCTCAAGAACGCGCTGTCTCACTGCGATGTGGATCCGGTGAATGTCAATGGGCGGACCGCGGGTCCCGCTACGATAGCGCGATCTACGGTCCGCCCATAGTCCCTTCTTGCGGTGTGAACACGCCCCATGAGGCTGTTCATACCGGAAGCGATAGCGCGGTCTAGCGAGCTAGACCGCGCTATCTCTGCGGTTTGGAAGGTACAACGTCGTTTTGGTCCGCCCAACAGCGAGCCACGACGAGCCAAAACGGCGTGCCTCTGGAGCACCTCTTGGGGGTGGTCCAAGAAAGATAGCGCGGTCTAGCGCGCGCTAGACCGCGCTATCTCTGCCGGTGTGAACCCGAGCTACGATAGCACGCCGGAAGTCATCGTTCTACACGCGGGGAATTTTATACTACACGGTCCGCCCACGCCCCCCCCCCCCCCCCTCCCCCCTTGCGGTGTGAACACGCCCATGGAGAGCTTGGGCGAGCTTGAACTCGCGTACACACGCGTAACTCGCTTGAAATTTACTAATTTGTATGGTATTTGCATGAATTATTATACGACGCATTATTGCGTTTCCTACGCTGGATGTACGAGTGAACCAAGCGCATTACGAGTCACGCGAGCTCGGTATGAGTTGCAATGACTTGTGTACGGGTTTTCCACGAGACATATGCGAACAAGGGCGGGAAATGCATCATGTTGGGAAGGGGCGGCAAAGCGACTTCCAACGATTGAGGGGGAGGGGGCACCAAGAAAAAAGGGCACCTTCAAAGGGAAATCTCAAAGCGAAAATATGAAATGTTTTTAGACATTAGTATATAACCTTACATTGTGATTACATTACCAGGGATGATCTCAATATTTGTTTCACTTTGTACACAGTACAAGATATTGCTTAAGCATCATACTTTGTACCCTTACATTGTAATTACATTATCAGGGATGATTTCATTATTTGTTTCCATTTTGTATTTATGTAATATGCAAATTCTCATAACGGAAGACTGAAAAGACCTTTAATAAGTAACATATCATCTTTAAATGCGAGTGCTGTTAGTCGCTTGAAATTCGGGGCGCGTTTAATGATAAGAGGAAAAGGGGACACTTATCAGTAAAAAAGGAGCTCGTTTCAAAGTACAAAGAGTACTTATCAGAGGTTAAAATGGGACATTTCTTACACCTTCTAAAAGAGGCCCTCACCAGGGATAAAAAAGGCACTTATGAAAATAGAAATGGGCATTTGTCGACGGAAAAGGGGGCCCCATCTGACTTTGATGAGGGCATTTATAAGAGGTGAAAAGGGGCATTCGTAAAAAGGGGGATAGGTTCCTTATTAGAAAGGTAAATTGGAACATGTGAAAATATAAGGTGCGCGTATCCGAGTTAAAAGGGGGTAGTACTTAACAGGGAAGGGGCACTTCTTACAAAGGAAAAGGGGCACTTGTCATAATAAAAGAGGCGCATCTCAGATTTCAATAAGGCAAATGACCAGAGGTGAAGGGGGCACTTATCAAAAGTGAAAATGGACACTTATTGCAAAGGAAAATGGGAACTTGTCGAAGGAAAAGGGGCACTTATAAGAGGTGAAAAGGTGTAGGGGCACTTTTTACAAATTAATATGGGCACTTTTCAAAGATAAAGGGGCACTTTTCCTATGTAAAAAAGGGCACATTGGGCACTGTGCCCCCTCTTTGCTCCCCTACCCCCAGAGAGGGCTGACTCTGATTTTGGCGCTCTCCAAAATAAAGATAGATGCCAGAAGCATATTTTCTCGGAATCTTGGAAACTCGAATAGCACTCGCGTATACTTGAAGGTGGCGAGTTGCAGGGACGTGATAGAGAAGGACTGGAATCAAGCCGCTATCCTTTGACCCCATGCTCCAAGCCGCCGAAAAGTTATGCGCTAATCTGCAACTACTGACAAGGTGGTGAGATAAAAGAGCGCATGAATTTCAGGATTTAGAATTCCTACATCAGAAAATGGTATCACATCAACTGTTCGCTGTCCCTTTCAATGATTTCTCATCTATTGTTGAATGTGTAAAGAGTAGAACAAGCGAACACAAACTTGTGTAATTTCATCCTTTTTTTAACTGCAAAAAATACAAAAAACACGCATAAGCAGACTTAAAGTTATTGCAAATTTTAAATCATGGATCAGATAACGGGACAAAAAAACATGCACAAATTAGCGCATTATCCTAAATTATATACCTCACTTAAGAAATCCAGCCATCTTATTGGTCGAAATTGCATTCATAAACTTTAAATATTCCTGTAAAATTCCCGGTAAAATTCGAAACCCATGTAATAGTTCTAAAAAATAGTTCTAAAATCCCAGTTACCATGGTTACCGGGAAAATAGTTCAGTCTTGGCGAAATTGAGAGATCGCGGATACCGTACGTGTGCGCAGATTGGAGATGTTTGTGACATTTTTTGTGAGCAAGCTATTCAGCAAAATGCTAAAGAAGTAATCCTTCATCTAGGTTCGAACGATATCACTTCACACGACGCAGATGAAATTGTCGCAAAACTTGAGTCCCTGGCAGAACAAATTGTCAAACTAACACCAGCCAAGAAAATAAGTGTCTCGACAATGATCCATCGTCGCGGAGAATCAGCAAGCGATTTCGAGAAAGTGCGCAGTGTAAATGAAATGTTGAAACTTCTAGCCAATCGCCGCAGCTGGGGAGTCGTGGACAATGAAAACATCACTCCTGACACACATCTCGCCGCTAATGGCGTACACTTAAACGGCTACGGAGTACGTGTATTGGCACAGAATATCATCGCATATCTTCGAGGATCACGCCCTGCGTTTCACCGTGACCAGTTTCCATCAGCTACTGTTTATGTTTCTGATCCGGATAGTTTGGATAACAAATATCCTCGGCTCCAATCTCAATATCCTGATGCTCCGTCTTTTCAGATGAGGAGCAAAGCGAAATTCCGCAAGAAAGCGTCCGACCGTGTTTTCCCACGAGACTGGCTAGATTGTCTACAAACAGCCCGGAGACTCCTCAACAGTTACATTGATTAGACAATAGTCATGAAGACATTGATGACTTCAATCGATCAAGTGACTCAGTTCGATATAATGACAATGCAGACAGTAATAGCAATCAAGAAGCCTATCTTGAACTTGCTGATGACGGAACTATACCAGTTATTTCAAAACGAGGATTACGTGTGTGTCATTTGAATGTTAATTCCTTACCAAATAAACTTGAAGACCTAAGGTATTTGTCAAGAAATTCTCTTATGATTGTAATGCAGGGATCACTTTTGTCACAGTTGATTTAGCTTCCTACTCGTGTGACCCAGCATTCTAACACACTTATTGACCATATTTATACAACATGTCCGGATGATCACAGTATTTCAGGTGTCATAAAAACTCACATTAGTGATCATTTTTTGATATTCACATGTTTACATTCTAGAAGTGCTGGGAATGTTCATAAACTTAAAAGAATTTAAGCAGGACATTTTTTTCAACGATCTTGTTAACTTAATGTTTAGAGAATTAGCTTGTGTTAGCAACGTTGACACAGCTTGGAAATTGTGGTACAATCAAGTAATGTCAGTTATTAATAAACATATGCCATGTAAACGCAAAAGAATGAGGAAAAACCCTCTCCTTGGATCACAGGTGAAATTATTACATTGATAAATAAAAGAAAGTATCTCCATAACAAGGCTTTAAAGTTTAACTCCTCAGGATTATGGAAAGAATATCGTAGAATACGTAACATGGTAACAAGTTTAACTAAAAAATCTAAACAAAGGTATATCCAGGGTTTATTGCAAGATAA